TTGCAGTAGGTGTTGCACGAGGACTAGAGTATTTGCATAGAGGATTTAACACTCGGATATTGCATTTTGACATAAAGCCTCAACATTTTGTTAGATGAGAACTTTAGCCCAAAGATCTCAGACTTCGGACTAGCTAAAATATGCTTATGAAATGAGAGTGTTGTATCCATGACAGGTGCTAGAGTAACCATAGGATATATTGCTCCCAAGGTATTTTCTAGGAATTTTGGAGTTGTCTCTCAAAAGTTAGATGTTTATAGCTTTGGGATGATGATTTTTGAAATGGTTGGGGGATGAAGGAATGTCAATGTCAATTGATAGTAGCAGTGAAATATATTTTCCTCATTGGATTTACAAGCGTCTAGAATTGAATGAAGACCTTGCCCTGAGGAGTATTAGAATTGAAGGTGACAGAGAGGATAAGACAGATGGTGATAACTAGCTTATGGTGCATACAAATCGACCCTTCAAATTGTCCAGTGATGAGTAAAGTGGTGGATATGCTTGAAGGCAGAGTTGAGCCCTTGCAAGTTCCACCAAAGCCTTACTTATCATCTCCTTCAACATCACCACGCTCTTCTTCTTCCTCAACTCACTGACTCCATAGTTTTTATGCTATGGGGTGTTTTCATTAAGTCATGATTACTCAAAGGCCCATATGTTTTTGATTCTGTGTGTGCTTGTTATTTTCTAATAAGACCCTGCTAATGCACTGGATTTTGCCATGTATAGACAACAAGAACATTGTCATGCTTGTGGACTTGTATTGTGGCCTTTTCTGTCTATATTGTTAATTTGTGTCATTCCTGAGTAATGTTTCTGTGAATGCTTGTTAGTTTCTGATAAGATCTCTGCTATTGGGCTTTGTCATTGATGCTTGATACTCTTCCTGGGCCTCAAATGTTTCTATTTCTGTGCATGCTTCTTATTTTCCGGAGTTATGATTTGCAAATAAGATCTTTGCCTACCTGTAGAAGCTGTCATGTATTGACATCAGGAACGTGGTAATGCTTTTAGATTTGTATTTTGTTAACTTCTCTCTTTACTGTGAAAATTCTATCAATGTTGCCTATTAAGAAAAAGAAACAAACAAACGGAGATGTCTAAAGTGTGGTAATGTAAATATTGTGCGATTCTCCAAAGCTTTCAATTTGAAAATGTTTTGTTATGGCATCCCCGATCTTTGTTGTCTATTTCCAAGTCCATGCAAATGACTATTTAGAAGTAGTGAGATACCCAAGATGGATAACTTCCAGATTTTGACTAAATTTTTGCTACAAACTGAAAAATTGACTACTTAGAAATAGTGAACATACCAAGTTGAATTGTAGTATGAAGACGTCCAATTGGAAAATAAGAGTAACCTGGTTGGAAAATTTTAATCAAGTTCCACGCTTATACTAGTCTTTTTGGCTATGTCAAAGGTTGGTTGGAATGCATAAAGATTTAGTTGAAAAATAAAAGTAATCTAGTTGGAAAAGTTTGCGCTCTAGCTAGACTTGGACTGAATTTTTACAATAAACTAAAATTATGAGTATTTTCTACTTTGCAAGTATTGTTAGTGTAGGTTTTTAGTTCCAATGACCGTATGCTTTAATTGTAGTTTTACATTCCGACTGTGGGCCATGCGGACCATGCGTATGGTGCTGAATATATTTTAAAAAAAAATTCAAAGGCAGGTTGGGAATACATAGAGATTCAGTTGGAAAATAACTCCATTGAAAAATTTTAAGCTCTAAAGACTAAATGTTTGCTATAAAATGATATAATGGCTATTGAAAATATCATATGTGGGTTGAGAATAGTGGATATTCAGTTGGAAAGTAAAGATAACCCGCTTTAAAATTTCAAGTTTTATAAATCAAAGCATTTCTAATCGAGTTACTAAGAGTTTTAAGTAGTTTACTGGGTTTTTTCCCGCTTATTTTCCTATTTTATGATTTTTCAACTTATCCTCTATCACTTCAAACTATTTTTTTTGGTAATATTTCCAACTAACGCTTCAACTTTTACTATTAATATAGATGACTAGTTCTGGCATTTGATATATACAATGAAGACACTTTTTACATATGGTATGTAAAATGGTTTTTTTTTCCTAGGTACAAGTATCATCTTATTAGAGATGATTATGTTCAAAGTATTATTAGACACTAAATATAAACAGTTCTCCTAACAAAAATTTAAGCATTAATTTATCACATTGTGAAATATTAGCTGCTTTTGCTATACACGTACTCAATCCTGTTAGTTGGTTGTACGGTGAATTTTAACAGTTATTGTTATTACATCTCATATGTGGGTAACATTTGTAACATGGGCCGAGTAATATCGGAGTTTGAGGTAATTCACAAATGAGAAGAAATTCCTAGTTGAAGTTGTGACAGACAGAAGTTTCACTCTCTTTGTTGTTCAATGGAATGTTGAACAAGTCACAAGACTCCAAAACAAAGACGTTGACTTAACAAGTGCGTGTCAGAAGTTTTTAAAGGGGAATTGGAAAACTTCGTGTGACTTAACAAATGCGCGTGTGATGCTACCAAATATTAAAATTAAGTGAAAAGAAATTAAAATAAACAAAACAAGATTTTATCAAATTAATTTAAACAAATGTTAAAAGGACAACTTAGAGTCACCAATTCCTTACCAGTTTTTTAAATCTTTTTTCATTTTGATATTAATTTGGTTAATCTAGAGTATAATTAGCTATAAGTGTCTGTTTCTACTTATAACCCTCTCTTAAATTAATTATATAATCTCTCACATAATTATTTAAGAGGCTAAACAATTCGATCTCACACATCAACAATTATACGGGATAATTAGGTATATTTCTATCCTGATTACAAATTAGATTATCATCTAATCCCATATTACTTAATCTAAGAACTTAATTAAAATCTCATTTGTTAAGAAAAACTTTAACTTGCAAATTCACGATTAATAATTAAGTAACCAAAATTTACCACTAAACATTCTCAATTCAGTAAAAACAGCTCAATCCATTAATAAGTTCATGGGTAAAAAAAAAAAATTAGCTACACATGATTTTAAATATAATCATGTCAGGAACAATAATTCCAGATTCAAAATCATGATAGAAATAGAAAGAAATATTGGAAACAAAACACTGTTTAAAGCTCCTATCGCAGCTCGTGCTCCTCTGATCAAAACCAGTCGACTCCTAACTCTAATGAAGAAGAAGATCACGGTCGATGAACCAGATTCGGCCTCTCCCAATGTCTGCCTCCTCCCTCTCTCGCTCACTGAACCAGTCGAACCCAAAGAACAAGAGAAGATGACGTCCAGTCTCCTTACGATGAACAGTGTCGGCCTTCTCCTCCTGCAGAACCCGTCGGTCACCGCCGGAGGTAGAATATCCAGTCGCGCCTCTCTCTATGAATCCCCCTCTTTCTCTCAACCCTTCGCTGCTACCTTTCCCCAGGAACGCCGCGTCCTAGAAACGCTGTCGTTCCGTTTTAAATTCCCAAAGTCAAATTCAAATTTTTCTTTCTCCAAACGGTGCGCCTCGGCCTCTTCCAAATTCAAAAACTTCATTCTCCTCACCTAAAGAAAATGACGTCACCTATGCTAAAGGTCAAAGAAAAGGAATTCATAAAAATAAATGGAAGAAACAAAATAAAATACGAATAACTTATATATTTTTCTTTTGTTTCAGAACCACTTTTTATTACTTATTTATATCTTAAACTAAACGATTTCTATTTTGATTTAAAGCTATGATACTCACACTAAAATCCCCCAATTAATGCCCCAAATTGATTTCTCAAATTAACTCTTAGAAATCACTTAAAAGTAATTGATAACTCTTCAAAATATACTCAAAATATTCTTCAAAAATATTCAAAATGAAGATTTAACAAATGCGCGTGACTTGACAAATTAGTATATATAAACAAAGCTTTTAAATCGCCAGCCATTTACCAAGTCAACTGTGTATGAAGAAGTTCAAGTAGGAGATTTATAATGGGAGGACAGTTCAATCATAATTAGAGTTTTCTTGCTGGGTATGGAAATGTAGGAAGCATGACAAGTGTGGACAATCTGGGAGTCTCCACTTCCCTTTGCTTTGTAACACTGGATTTATCACTATACATACATATATATATGGTTGTGATGATCCTTTTTCATTTAAAACGATTATACTGCAGAAGAATGGAAAATCATCATTACTGCGTACAAATGTCGTTCATCAGCAGGAGAATCTTTACCTGATTGCTCAATTCTTCAGCTTCCTTGTAAGAACCTGACATATACCACAGATTTTTCATCATCATTCTTATGCGGTGAAATGGATACTGAAGTGCAATTATCTGATGATTGTGACGAGTGTCACTACCAGAAGGGAGGCCACTGTCCAGCTGACAAAAACACACTAACTTCTATGGAAATAATCGGATAGCTAATCAGTATCTATGCCACTCATTAATGCCCAGGGTTTTGCGTAATCCCATCTCTTCTAATCTTATTAACATCTTATGCAGGTATAATATATACAGTAGGAGTTTTTGTTCTTATAATACTAAAATGTCCCATTGCTCTGAAGATTTTGAGCAAATTAAACAAGAGGTAAGGAAGAGGAATTCTGCATGGTTAAATATTTATTTTTTCATGCGTCCATATTTAATTTGATAATCATTCCATGCAATTACGACGCTATTTTTGCAGCACGCAGCTATGTATTTCAAACATGACCAAGAAAACAATCCAGTTGAAACAAAATTTAATTTCCTTGTCAAAAATTTTGTTACCCGTAGTTTTCAAAAGTTTGAGCCCCTCCTAACACGTTTGACCAGTCTTCGCTTTTCATTTTAAAGTCAACATTCACTGCAATGAAGTCCTCCACTATTCTTAGTCTCCGCTTAATCTTCTGGTGGTAACTAACGGTCCCTCACTAAGCACAGAAACACAGATAAATCTTCCACCAAGCTAAGTAGCCATTGAAGTTCGAAGGAAAAGAAGTATCATCTGACAGAGAAATGTCACCCCGTGTTTCCATGTTGTTCATTCTGAACCTTCTGTTCTTGTTCGGAAATGTTGTGGGTTCTTTGAACCCAAGGTTCCAAGCTTGCGAGCCCCAAACCTGCGGAAATGGGCAAAACATAACCTTCCCCTTTCATATCAAAGGTAAACAAGAGCCCTCCTGTGGATTGCCTCATTTCGGCCTTGTCTGTGCTTCCAATGGCTTCCCAGTGCTCAATCTCTCCAATACTTTTTACATCGTCGATGAAATTTTCTACAATAATCACTCTCTTCGGGTCTCCAACCCTAGCTTCCAACTCTCCAATTCCACGAACTGTTTCTCCCCCTCCACCAACCTCACCACCAGCATAAGGTTTACTTTGGCTCCGAACCAGAAGGAGGTGCTGCTGTTCTTCGGTTGTGACTTACCGTCGCTGGCGGAGGAGATGAAAGCAAACGTATTGGGTTGCTTTGAAGGGAACAGAACGAGGTGGGTGTTGGGTATGGCGGTGAATGACGAGGAGAAGAAGTTGAAGTATGCGAAGGATAATTGCAGAGATGGGTCGACGATGAGGACGGTGGTGGAGAATGTGGAAGGAGGGATAAGAGAGGCTTTGAGAAGAGGATTCTTGTTAAAGCAAAGGAATTGGACGGTGAGCGGGTGCGACGCATGCCAGAGCAGTGGAGGGACGTGCGGCTTCGACTTCGATGCTAACGGCTTCAGGTGCTTTTGCCGCAATAGCGATCAGCTTGCCAGATGTTCTTCTGGAGGTTTGCTCTCTGTAACGATACAAAGTGATTAATCTTTTGTGATATTTAGGGGTATTTGGATGGAATCAAAATCATGATTTTTAAAGTATTTTTACGGTATACGAAGTAAATATGTGAATAATTTTATCTCGATTTGCACAAAAATACTTTTCAGAAACACTTCTGATATTCTCCAAACACCCCCTTAATAGTATTTGTTTTCTAAAGATGCCTTTTGTTGAAAAAGAAGAGAAAACCTAAAAAAAAAAAAAAGTGGGAGAGAATGCTTTTATTTTTTCCAGGTTGATAAAACTAATTAAAGACAAAAATTAAAAACTCTTACTCAGTTTTAAGTTTTTTAAATAAAAACATTAGTTAAAGACAAAAATTAAAAGCTTACTCAATTTTAAGTTTTTTAAATAAAATATTTTTTTTATTTCGATGATGTATTTAAAAGTGATTTATATATGGGAAAATATATTTATAGTTTCATCAGATTTTGAATTAGGTCCTTATATTTTTTTTATTGAATTTTTATAGTTAATTTTGTTAAATTCACAAGTCCTTCCATCACTAATGTTGCAAACACTGCTAACCCACAATGGCAGTGCTAATGAAAGTGGCCATAAGAGTTCACCAAAAAAATTGCGATGGGTACAATGCTGAACGCCAATCCTCACTATACTCTGTCTTGGCGTAATTGAACTTATAACAGCATAGAAGCAGCGTGCCCATGTTGATGAAGAGTAGGATCAGTCAAAGAAGCAGTCCTTCTTCACTCCTTCTACATGTAATCGAGCTCATCATGGTTAGCTTTAACAGATGAGAGAGAAAGGTGATAGAGAGAGAGACATAAACTTGGGAGAGGGGAGAGAAGCACACTACCCGATCATCCTCTGCCATTGTGAGTTAATGATGTTTGCATGAGTTAATGATGTTTGCAACATTAGTGACAGAAGGACTTATAAATTTAACAAAATTAACTATAAGGATTCAATAAAAATAAAATAAAATTATAAAAACCTAATTCAAAATCTGATCAAACTATAAGGACCTGCAAGTATATTTTCCCTTTATATATAAAATTGAGATCTCTCCTTTTTCTTTCTTTGTTTTTTCCTTTTAACCTTGACAAGTAGTTTATCGAAAAAGAAAATGAAAAAAACATCGTCATTAAGGGGTCGACGTTTGGATCTTTCGGTGCACAATTAAATATAAATTATAACCAACGTTAAGATTTTAATTGGGTTCATCCTGATTCCTAGCTTATTCCTTTTCTCCTTCGCCCTAGCTTTTAGGATCCTAAATTTCAAGTTTGTAAGTATTCTCCGCGTGTGTCAAGTGTTAACTATAATTTCCTTTTTCAGTTGGCAAGGAATCACGGAGGTCAGTGGTTATAGCCGCTACAGGTGATACATTGTACTTGATTAACATTAATTTATTATTATTATCGCATCAACTGAAAACATCAGCCCCGAGGTCTCATAACTGTTCTCACGATGATGGATGACCGAAAATATACTAAAACTGATCATGAAATTAGAATTTAACATGAAGAGAGTGAGAGAGATGTTAATCTGTAAGCTTTTTATATATGATAAACATAGTTGAAACAAGAAAGAATCCTTACGGAAACAATGTGATAGTTAAGCAGTATTTATGTTAGTCATTAACGGCTACAAAATTTCGGATAATCTCACCTCCTATTGATCACAGTTTCTGCAGTTGCAATAATGGGAGTTTTTGTTCCTATAGTCTACTTCTTAAGAGGGCTATGTTTTCTGACAAAATCACTATATTCTGGAACAACAAATCTCAAGCTCATCAAGATTTTGAGGCCTTTCTAAAGAGCCACAAATCACTTGCCACAAACAGATATACCTACTCTGAGATAAAGAAAATGACCAATTGTTTCCAAGAAAAATTAGGGCAAGGAGGCTATGGAAGTGTGTTCAAAGGGAAGTTACATGATGAGTGTCTAGTTGCTGTGAAGGTTTTGAATGAAACAAAAAGTAATGGGGAGGAATTCCTCAATGAGGTAGCAAGTATAAGCAAGACTTCCCATGTTAACATTGTCACTCTTCTGGGACTTTGTTTTGAAGGACCAAAGAAGGCACTTGTTTATGAGTTTATGGCTAACGGATCGTTAGAGAAGTTCATCTTTGAAAATGAAGCCAACCTCCTTAATGGTAACCTCCAATTGAGCTGTGAAATATTGCATCAAATTGCAGTGGGTGTTGCACGAGGACTAGAGTATTTGCACAGAGGATGTAATGCTCGGATATTGCATTTTGACATAAAACCTCACAACATTTTGTTGGATGAGAACTTTTGCCCAAAGATCTCTGATTTTGGATTAGCAAAAATATGTCCTAGAAATGAAAGTGCTGTATCCATGTGGGGTGCCAGAGGAACTATCGGATATATTGCTCCTGAGGTATTTTCTAGAAATTTTGGTGTCGTCTCTCACAAATCAGATGTTTATAGTTTTGGGATGATGGTTTTAGAAATGATTGGAGGAAGAAGGAATGTTAATGTCAATGTTAACAATACTAGTGAAATATATTTTCCTCATTGGATTTACAAGCGTCTAGAATTCAATGAAGACCTTGCACTGAGGAGCATTAGAAATGAAACTGACCAAGAGAGGATAAGACAGATGGTTATAACAAGCTTATGGTGCATACAAACTAACCCTTCAAACCGTCCAGTGATGAATAAAGTGGTGGAGATGCTTGAGGGCAGAGTTGGGACCTTGCAGGTCCCACCTAAGCCTTACTTATCATCTCCTTCAAGATCACCATGCTCTTTCTCTTCATCAACTCACTGATTCCATGGTTTTGTCCTATGGGGCAGTTTCATTAAGGCATGATACTCCAAGACCCATATGTTTATGTTTCTGTTTGTGCTTGTTATTTTCTAATAAGACCCTGCTAATGCACTGAGACAGCAAGAAAATGGTGACTGTTAATTTACATCATTGCTTGGTAACTTTTCTGTGCATGCTTGTTATTTTCTGAAGTTATCAATTGCAAATTAGATCTCTGCTTGCCTGTAGAAGCTCTCATATACTGACATCAAGAACGTGGCAATGCTTTTAGACTTGTATTATGTTAACCTCTCTCTTTACTGTAAAAATTCTATCAATGTTGCCTGCTAAGAAGAGAAACAGACAAACAGAGATGTCTTAAGTATGAAAATGTAAAAGTTCAGCAATTCACCGAAGCTTTCTATTTAAAAATGTTTTTCTATGGCAACTTGTTTCCCAATCTTTGCAGTCCATTTCCAAATCCATACAATAGTCTTAGACTCGGCTATAATAACCAAAGATTTTCAGTGTTTTCTTGCGTTCATCTTATGGCAATATTTCTACCTTGCATCATTTCTTTTTTGGATATACACTTTCTTTTTATCATTTCTACATTCTTATTTACAGGAACAGAGACAAACAAACAGAATGAATGCACCAATTTTGAGGAACTTGAATCTATGTTTGATTTTAAGATACATATGAACTTCCAAAATATCTTCGTTAAGACTTGAGCACAATGCTATGAAATATTTTAACTTGTTTTCTCACTTTTACAGAACCGCGGAATTTTATCATTGAATGTTGCTGTATGCTGTAGAAATAATTCTAGGCATGTAAGTGTTGATCATATTGAAGAGCCAGTTGTCTCTTAATACATATAGGAAATTCTTTGGCTGAATCCCACTTTTGATTCTATGCCTGTGGTTCTTATAGCTTAGCGACTTACAAACTAATCTCAGAATATCATGATATGTTCTGAACCGTAATTTGAAGATAGTATTATGATTTAATTCAGAACGAAACAAACATGAAGTCTCTTGTATTTGTGCTGTTCTGTTGTCTAAAAATTAGTTCATGGATGTTTTTAACAATTCGGCATCGCATTATTAACTACTAACGGGTCACCTAAACCAAGAACTAAGCTGAGGTATTTTCTTCGAGTTTAACAAGTTTTGCATCTGAGCAATTGTCAGATATTCTCGTCAATGTTTTCAACAAGAATATAACGTGATTATATATGGTAGTTTTATGGTAATTTCATAAATATGAATGGTCGAGCGCATTTCGCAGACTTCGGAATGATAGGAATTCAAGCAGCTCTTGGAGTTTTCCATGTTCTTGAATTATCGTCATTATGTTTGGAGCACTCTAATATCATGCAAAATCAAAGATTTTTGTTCTGGAAAGCTTGAGGAGGTGAAGAGCGGCAATGGGTAATTTGTTGATGAGATAAGCTGATGTTTAGAAAGCATCTTCTCAGAATTTTGCAAGTCAAAAAGAAATAATCTAGACATCTTTCGCTCTTCTCATATGGACAAGAGTGTGGATAATTTCCCTTTTCGAGAGAAACAGGTAGAAAAACCTCTAATCAATTAAACTAATCCAGATGGGCATTTAGAGCATATAGTTCTTTAAGTTCAACCTAATGCAACTCAATATCTCAATTTTCGCTATTTAATCGTTAGTTTCTACATTCCATGACTTGTTACACCATAGTTAAGATGTTTTTTTGGAAGGTGTGGGGAGCAGTTTTATTAAATGACTGAAACTTCAGGGATTAAGTTAAGCAAATTAAAATTCAGAGATGGACCAGCTCAAAACTACATATATAAACGATTAATTTTTTCCTTTGTTAAATTCGTAAGGTGGCCTATTGTTACTCTCAATAACAATCACATGGACGAGTTTGAAATGTTAAAAGCTTTCAATTTGAAAATGTTTGCATATCGCAGTGAATGAATCAAGATAAGGGAGTTCGATCTTCCCAACTAAATAATGGGAGGCTAATTCTGAAAAACAGAGGTTTGTTTAATAGTATAGTTTTCTTCAATTTGTTCGAGTTGCTTTAGAGACTGACATTGAATAATTCCAATCTGGAGCAATATAATCGATAAAATTAATTCAAGTATTTCAGAGCATGCCTAGAGTCCAACGAATAATCCAATATGCCCACGCAATGTACAATCATAAGACAAACACTACATTGTTATACAATAAATGACACCAGTTGGAAGAGAGGAG